TAACATTAACGATAATAATGATAATTAATATTATATTAAATAATAAATGATAATAATTATAACATTAACGATAATATGATAATAATAATTACAACATTAACCGATAATGATGATTAACGATAATTAATGATAATTATAACATTAACGATAATATGATAATACATAATTATAACAAATTAACGATAATGATGATAATAGATAATGATATAACATTAAAGGATAATAATGATAATAATAATTATAACATTAACGATATGAGATAATAATAATTATACATTAATGATAATGATGCTAATGATAATTACAATATTAACGATAATTATGATAACAATAATTATAAACATTAACGATAATGATGATAATAATAATATAACATTAACGATAATGATGATAATAATAATTATAACATTAACGATAATGATGAATAATAATAATTATAACATTAACGATAATGATGATAATAATAATTATAAACAACGAATGATGATAATAATGGTAGTAGTAGAATAAAAATAGAGTAAAATAGAAGGTCAAACCAAAGCTCTCGAACTGACGTGTAATATCACTTCCCACCAAGTAATGTCTCCCTTCTCTTGGACTCTCCGGCCTTCGTCATCTTCGTCTCACCCCTCCCCCCTCTCCCCTTTTTTTCTTACCCCCCCCTCCTGCTCTTTTCAACATCCCCCTCTCCCTCTCTTCTTACTACCCCCCTCCCCATCTTCGTCTTCCGTATACCCCCCCCCTTCCTCTTTCCGCTCCTCCGCTCTTTCCAACCGCCCTCTCCCCTCTTTTTCTTACCCCCCCTCTACCCTCTTTTCTTACCCCCCTCTCTCCCTGTTTTCTTACCCCCCCTCTGCCCCTCTTTTCTTACCCCCCCTCTCCTTCTCTTTTCCACCCCCCCTCTCCCGCATCTCTCGTCTTACCCTCCCCCCTGCTGCCCTTTTTCTTACCCCCACCTCCCCTTTTTCTTCCCCTTCTCCCAGCCTCCCGTCACTCCAGGCTCACCCTCCTCCTTCGAGTCTGCCCGGACTGCACTTCTTAACAACCCTTTCCCCCACCCCTCTTTGTCTTACTCCCCCCCTCCCGCTTAGGTTTCATTCATCTTCTCTCTCTTATCCTTCTATCCTTCCCGCTGGTTTCACTATCCCCTGACCTACCTCTCGCTCCTCCTCCTTCACACCCCTTCCTTCGCTCTTAATATTCACTTTCCTTCTTGATTCTCGCTATCCTGCACCTTTCCCCCTTCCCTCCCTCCTCCCATATCCCTCTCTCCTTCCTCCTTCCCTCTACCCCTAATCCTTTCCTCCATCCCCCAGTTTCTTATCCTCCCCCACCCCCAATCCTAGCCCTCCCCTACTCAGAACCTCCCCGCCTCTGCCCCATCCCGCCTATCCCCTCACATCCTCGCCCTAATCCACCCTCCCGATCCCCATCCTCCCCCGTTCCCACCCCCAATCCATTGCCCCCTCTCCCCCCTCCCCTCAATCCCCCTCTCTCGCTCCTACGCCATTTCCTCCCTACACCCGCAAATCCTACCCCATTCTTCTCCCCCTCCCTACCTTGAGTTCGAATCCAATCCGCTTCTCTCACCCCCATTCCTCCCCTAACCCTCCCCCCTCACTCTCGCCTCTAATCCTTCCCCTCCCCCAATCCCTAATCCATCCCTCTCCTCTCCCTCCTCTCCCCCTACCCCTCCTCTCCCCTCTACCCCCTCCTCCCCCTCACTCTCCCTTAATCCTTCCCCATCCCCCAATCCCTAATCCATCCCCTCTCCTCTCCCTCCTCTCCCCCCTACCCCTTCCTCTCCCTCCTCCCCCTACCTCCCCCTCCACTCTCCCTCTAATCCATCCCCTCTCCCCCCAATCCCTAATCATCCCCTCTCCTCTCCCTCCTCTGCCCCCTACCCCTCCTCCTACTCCCTCCTCCCCCTACCCTCCCCCTCACTCTCCCTAATCCATCCCCTCTCCCCCAATCCTAATCCCCCTTTCCTCTCCCTCTCCCTCCCCCTACCCCTCTCTCCCTCCTCCCCCTAACCCCTCTCTCCCTCTAATCCATCCCCATCCCCAATCCCTAATCCCATCCCCCTCCTCTGCCCCTCTCGCCCCTACCTTCCTCTCCCTCCCCCCCTACCCTCCCCCTCACTCTCCCACCCCTAATCCATCCCCCTCTCCCCCTACCCCCAATCCCTCACAGTCTCCTCTCCCTCCTCTCCCCCTACCCCTTCCTCTCCCTCCTCCCCTACCCTCCCCCCCCACTCTCCTCTAATCCTTCCCCCTCCCCCCAATCCCTAATCCCTCACAGTCTCCATGCGTATGAATACCTAATAATTACCGTCATCAAAGAGCCATTAAAGGCCTATAGAACGCGAGGGGACAAGATCTGCCTTTATGTAGAGGAACGTGAGGCAGCGAAGAGTCATTTTCGTTCCAGTGTGAAGAGGAAATTATCTGATGTCTGGCCGTCCGGGGTTGGTGGGAACTTGCTGTCGGGTTTGGTCTGG